GGAGTGGGTGGAGCTTCTACCCATGAGACCTGGTGTGGCCCGGGGATCCTGGTGGCTAGAGGTGAGGATGGGGTTGGGCTGGGTTTGGGCTGCTGGGAACAGCAGCAGTAGCTGGGGTCTCCCTGGCTCTGGCCTCCCACCCAGCTGACCTGGACGGCGCCTCTGACCAGTCTTTGGCTCCGTCCCCGAGACTGCATGTGCCTCCAGGTAGAGCTGGTTGACCACGCAGAGTACCCCAGCTGAGGTGTGAGCATGGGCCCTGCCCATCTGCAGCGTGTCTGGGGCTAGGGGCAGGAAGAAGTGTCCCGTGCACCTGAGGATCCCGCCCTGGTCCCTCCAGTCCAGCCTCACTGCTGGACAGGTTGAACTTCAAGTCCTGGCTCCCTTCCACCCCTAGTTCCTCCCAATCACCCAGGAATCTGGACCCTTCATGAACTCCCTCAGGATGGAGGTGACCAACGAGCAGACCATCCCCTCTAAAGCGTCCTGCCTCACCCACGGTGCGTGCCTCTCTAGGGCCGAGAGCTGGAGGAGGCAGAAGCAGTGTTCTGGGCAGGATATCCCTGTGGAAGGATGAGCACGAGCCGTGTCATGGGTGGGGTGTCTCAGAGAAAGGTAGCCCTGGCAGGTGCCCCCTTGGCAGACAGCTGCTACCTGCTGGCTGACAGGAAGGCCAGAAGGTGGGACAGATCCGGCATGCAGAGCTTGGAGGCTTCCAGGGACACACCTGCAGGGGCGTGGGGAGCAGATGTGAAGGGGGACAGCTCCTTCCTTCACTCCACAGTCCTGCACTCCCCTCCCAGACCAAGACATTCCGAGCAGGAAGCTCCACCCACTGTGGTCCCATTCCTGCCCAGCACCTGGAGCTTGGCATCCACTTATGCCACCAAAGGGGGCTGGTTCATCAGATAGAAATGGTTATTTCTGAATCCTTTCCAGGCATTGGGAACATAATGGTTAGAAAGGAGACAGGTTCATGTAGACACACACACACACACATTTACTTAAAAGGGTGAGAGGAAAGGACAGAGATCTTCAATCTGCTGGTTCACTCCCAAGCGGTTGGGGCTGGACCAGGCTGAAGCTAGGAGAGCCTGGACTTCCATCTGAGACGCCTTCCCTGGGTTCTAGAGACCCAAGCACTTGAGCTGCATCCCAGGGTGTGCATCAGTGGGAAGGTGGATTGGAAGTGAAGCTGGGACTGAAACCAGGCACCCCAATATGACTGCAGGCGCCCCAATCGGAGGGTGTCCTAATTTACAGCAAGGTGCCTGCCTGGGGGTGTATGGCACGTGACTGACATTTGCAAATCTCATCCTGGCTGCTGTTCTCAGTCAGATGTGTGGAGAGGGAGGGAGGGAGCGAGGGGTGGACTAAGGGCAGGCTGCTGCTGGGGTCCGGGGAAGAGCTGATAGAGGGAGGGGGTTGGACATGCAGATGTTCTAGCAGCTCCCAGTGATGAAGCTGTTGTGGACTGCAAACAGGGTAGGGGCCTCACCTTCAGAAAGCTTCTGAATCTTGTAGGTGCTGACTTCCCCTGGGGCAGATCCTGTCTTCAACACTAGAGTCTGGCTGGGGTCCTGTCCTACAACCAGGAAACTCTGGGACAGGACAAGGATAGGTAGCAGGTGAGTTCCAGGAAAGCAGTTATAGGGTCTGTCATGCCTGCCTAGCTGCTAGCCACTTCCCTTCTTTTAGGTTCAGTTCCCCAGGTTTCCTTTTGCGAAACTCTCCCAACTTGCAGCCCATATAAGTGGGACTGTTTCTGCTAAGGCCTGGGGGTGGTGGCTATACCTGGACACAGCCAATGGGAATGACCTGTGCTGTCTGCCCACTGTTCCGCCCAGGCTTGGGGGATTGCCATCTTTCATGGGAGTTCTGGTGGGTCACTTGGGAGCACGGTCCCTTAATGCATGAGAAGCTGAGGTTGCCTCCTCCACACCTGCCCGCTCCTGCAATGCTCCCTGTGCTAGCAGGTTCTCATAGAGGGATAGGTGATGGATACCCACAGTGCCTCTCAGCCCACAGCCACTCTCTGACCCCCGCGGGTGCAATCCCAAAGGCTTGTGGAAGGCCTCTTCCTTTCCTTGGGCAGACGAGGAATTCACTCAGCTGCCCAAGGGTCAGGATCTAGTCCTTAGCCACTTGGGTTTACCCAGTTTGTGCTAGTTCGGTCATTAGCAGTCACCAGGGACTTGACCAAGATGGTGGTGGGAGGCTGGGGAGAGGTCAGAAGGAGCCCCCAGCTGTCATACTCACCCCCAGCGGCCACAGCTCTACCAGGACCACAGCATCATGGACTTCCAGCTCTGGGATCTGCCACACCCCCTGGGTCCTCCGCAGGCGAAGAAGTGGCTCTCGGGCACTGAGGACCCCTACATGGGCCTTTCCTGCTCTGTTCCCATGTGATGGGACCAGCCTGGGATGTGCAGGGCCCAGGAGGTCAGGCTTCAGAGGTGAGCAGTTGGACACCAAAGGGGGTTAAAGGTATGGGAAGGGGCATCCCAAGGACAAAAGGCCAGAGTTGGGGTTCAGGGTCAGGTGGGAGGGGGACCTTTGGATGGAAGAGATTGGTGTACCCAAGGGCAGAAAATGGAACCCTTAGACTAGCTAGCCTCACCTCTCCCCATTGGTGGGGATTGCCTTGTCGTGTGGCTGGGCCATCCTCAGGATGCAAGTGGCCACGGTGTCATGGTCTGGCTCCCCGTAGGAAGACGGAGACTCAAGGCTGTTCCAGTCCAAGGGTAAAGATCCAGATGTTGGAAACCAAAGTGGGCAGAGACCCTGACCAATCACAGTGGACTCTGGAGTCCCCTGGCCATGACAGGGATTGTTTAATTTTGTTGTTGTTCTTCTTCTTTTAAGAGGGAGAAAATAAAGAGAGAGAACTCATCCACCTGCTGGTTCACTCCTCAGATGCCCGCAAGCAGCCAGGCTTGGGCTGGGCCAAAGCCAGAACTCAACTCAGATGGCCCATGTGGGTAGCAGGCAGCCATCGCTGCTGCCTCCCTAAGTTTGCCTTAGGAGGAAGTTGCAATCAGGAGTGGAACCCAGGCACTCTGATATGGGATCAAGCCTTTCAATTGCTTCAACATCACCCCTGCCCTGACCAGGAGTTACAGGGGAGAGGTCTGGGGGGTCCAGGAGAGAAGCCAGGACAACAGCTAGCAGGGACTCCAGCTCAAGACTTCAGCAGCCAGAGCAGTCACACAAATGCAGAAAGCTAGAAAAGTTCTCTGCCCACAGTCAACACCACACAGATTCGTCAAATATGACACAAAATTCCCGCTTTCCTCCAGGGAGAATGGAGGTAACATTTTTCTAGCACTTTTCTAGGAACATTTTTAGGCCATCCTCTGCTGTTTTCCCAGGCTACAAGTAGGGAGCTGGATGGGAAATAGAGCAGCCAGGGCATAAACTGGTGCCAATATGAGATGCCAGTGCTTATAGGTGTAGGACTAGCCAACTGAGCCATTGTGCTCGGCCCAGGAACATTTTTGAACATATAGAAAAGACGAAAGAATTGTACTGGGAAATTTCTATGTCTGTTGCCTAAAGGTGAGCACTTGTGAGCATATTTCCTGCAGCAATCCCAAGAGTAGGAAGCCTGGGTCTGGGAAGGGATGTCCTACCCACCCACCCATCCACTCACTCACTCACAAATTCACTTATCTATTCATTCATTCATTCACCCATATGTCCACCCACTCATCCATTTACTCTCATTAATCTATCCATTCACTCACCCATCCACCCAACTACCCACCCATGCATCCATCCGTCTGTCTGTCCGTCCACCTACCCTATTCACTTACCTGTTCATTCACTCATCCACCCATATATCCACCCACTCATCCATTCACTCTCACGCATCCATCCATCCATCTACTCACCCATCTACCCATAACATATTTACTGAACTCAGGCCCAGAATACCCTGAGGGGAGGGTAATGAGTAGGGCAGACCCTGCTCTTTCAGAGCTCCCTTCTTTTTAGGGCTGGGCATGGGATAGGGGTAACGAACAGCTGAGCAAGTCAGCCAGCCTGTTGCCGGTGTGACAGCAAGGAGGAAGGCAGGGCTGGTGTACCACCCAGGGGCTAGCAGGAAGGTGGGGGTGGAGAGAAGGAGGCAGATGCCTGCCCCACCTTCACGGGTGGTGCCCAGCAGGGCTGGCGGGGGCAGCTGCCAGGTACCAGAGGGGGGCAGTGGTTTGGCGGGGGGTAGTTAAAGATGCCGGATGCTCGGTCCCTGGGGACCCCTACCTGTTCTGGGAGGGGAGGCCAGAGGAAAAGGAAGTGAAAGTCGTCTCTGGTAGAGAGGAAGCTGGGCGGGTAGGGGGAAGAGGCGGGGCTGGAGGGGTCTGGACCGTCCCCCCTTCTTTCAGGCTCTCAGGCCTTTGAGGAAGGGAGCCAGGTAGGCCGGGAACCCAGAGCTGGGTACGCCTCTCACACGGAGTCTCTGAAGAACCAGCACATGCTCTGCTTTCCTGAGAGGTCCCAGCTCCAGCCTCCACCCTCCCACACCTCCCCGGATGCCATAAAAAAAAAAAAAAAAAAAAGGAACAGAGAGGCCGGACAGATGCTGGTTAACTGGTTTTGTTTTTTTGCCTTTAATTTGTTTCCAAAAAGCAACATCTTCTGCCCATCCCCAGATGGCAGATGAAAGGTGTCCCAAGTAGAGGGGACCCAGCAGCCACTTTGGGGGTTGGAAGCAGAAATCTGGGGGTCCTTCCCACAGCCCTGAGTGTGAGAGGCATTGCGGGGGGGGACCCATGTCCCACTCTGGGGTAGGTTAGATTGTGTCCTTAGCCCCAGGTATCCCTGGAGCCAGGACAGGGACCGGGACAGTTAAAAAGCGTGGTGCCCACCTCCCGGGAGCAGTTAGTCTGGGCAGGTGCCTCCTGAGCCAGTTAGAGCTGTAGGCTGTTAGAGACCCTCGGGAGGGAGTTAGAGGTTCGTGGAGGTTGAGTGAGGGTGCCCCAGTCCCTGGTCCCAGTTCCATGGATGAGAGATGCCAAGTTAGAGGGGTCCAGAGCTGGCTGGGGCTCAACTGGCCCAGGGCAGAGGGCTGGTGTCCCGCCTGGAGGCACAGCCATCACTGGGGCTTCTCTCCCTCCATGGTCTTGGCCTCCTCCTTGGTAGGCACAGGAGACTTCCTGGGGGAAGCTGCAGAGCCAGGGTTGGAGGTCCCTGGCCCTGGCTGGGTATCTATGCTGGCATGCTCCTTCCGGACCAGGTCCTCCAGCTCCTTCTGTGGGGCAAGGGTCGTGCAGGTCAGAGGTCACATGGGGCAGAAGCAGGGTCCCTATACGGGTCTTGAGGGGGCTGGGGTCACCCAGTTACTCACTTTCCATCCGAGGAGGTCAGCGAGTGCCAGGCAGCCCTGGTCACAGTCCCCCAGCCAGGCCACATCCCTGCAATGTGGGTAGGATGGTCAGAGTCCCGAAGCCTGGCTGGGGTCCCTGCCACTCTCCCCTCGCCCACTCCCCCATCTGGGCCTGGTCCCTCCTGAGCTCTGCCGCCACCCCTGGCCCAGGCCTCACCTGTAGGCCTTCTTGGAGTCGAAGTCCATGCCTCCTCCAAGGCCCATCATCATGCCGAGGAATGGGTCTGTCTGCAGGGAAGGGGAGGGGCGGGGAGGACAAGTGGGCAAGGGAGGGGAGGGCGGGTCCAAGGGCACAGACCCCAGCCAGGTGGGGCCAGTGGGCTCCCTGCTTCCCAGCTTTGTGGCTTTGGGGAAGGACTTGGCCCCTGGGCACCCTCTCCCTGCTGGCTGTGGTGGGAATAAAGACGCAGCCACCACCCACTCCTCCCCAACTTAAGGATTCCAGGGATGGGGTTGGAAAGACTCAGAAAAAACTGTGTTCTAAAGCTGCATTATGTTGGAGCGACACAGCATGTCAACCATGGAGTGGCCCTGTCATCACCTCAGCTACCGCGGGTGACAGGTACTGGGCAGGGCCTGTCTTGGCTGACGCTGGCCCCTGTCACCAGATCCAATGGGCACAGAGGCTCGCAGCATCCTAGAAGCAGGGGCAGCCTGGGATCCCAAGGAGTGAGTTGAGGAGCCCCCCTGATATGGGGGAGGAAAAGGGGAACCAGGGGAGGAGGCAGCATGGAGGGAGGGGAGAGGGCCAGGTGGGAGTGGGCGGCTCACCTGGCCGGTCTTCTCCTTGTTGATGAGCAGGCGAGGGGTGGACAGGGGAGCCCTGGGGGGACGTGAGGCTCAGGGGTCAGGATCTGTCCCCGTCCCCAAGCAGTGCCCAGCCCCACCCGTGCTGGCTCCCCACCTACTTGCCGATGAGGGATGCGAAGGGCTGCACCTGCAGCGAGGTGCCCATGATGATGAGCAGGTCCACTTTCGTGAAATCCTGTGGGAGGAGGCGTGGAACGGCCAGCGAGGGCCGGACTGGATACCCCGTCAGCAAGGCCACGTCCACCCGGGGCCTCTCCTCCCCTCCCATCTCACCCACCCCACCAGCTGAGGCCACTCACGGACTGTATGCAGGAGAAGAAACGGGCCGGGAGGTTCTCCCCGAAAAACACGATGTCTGCGCAGAGACAGTGACAGACACGGGGAGTGGGGCAGGGACAGTGACGCAGGGAGACCCATGAGAACAGGGTGGAGGAAAGGCAGGCCGAGCGCCGGCTGGAAGGCGGCGAGCAGAGGCACAGGGCTGCTCCCTCCTCCCTGGGACACTGGTGGAGGGCAGCAGGTAGGGGAAGGGGATGCACGGGCCATGTGGGGAGGGGCAGGGGGAACGGGCAGGGAGACAGCGATCCGCTTGGGCAGGTGCCCAGGCCCAGGCTCACCTGGTTTCACCACGCTCTGGCAGTTCTCACACTTAGGAGTCTCCTCCGAGAAGATCTTCTCTGGATGGGGAGGGGGGGCAGTGGGAGAGAGGGCTGTGCGGGGCTGGTGCGGGATTGGCAGGTGCCCGGCAGCCTCCCTCCACTGTCCATGTGCCCATCACACACAGAGGTGCACACATATGCACACACAGGCACCTGTACAAGGGCCCACACACGAGGGTACACGCTTGTGTGTATGTACTTAACGCAGGTGTGTGAGGGAGGGCTGGGTGAGGGGGGGATCTGCCCTGTCAGCCAAGGCCTCTCCTCTCAGGAGCAGCCCCCACCCCCGGTGGCTCCCAGCATCCCCTGCTACAGCTACCGACTGAATGAATGAACAAATCCTTGTTCCCAGCAGGATCCCACCAGCCCCCACCTGGAAGCGGGGCTTTCCAGGGCTCTGTGGGAGCAGCCCTGGTTTCCCCACCCCTCCCCTGGGAGGAACGTGACTAGGGTGACGACACACCAGGATCTGGGCCAGAGCCCCCCTCACAGCAGCCTGGTGACAGCCCTCCCCTGTCCCTGAGGGCCTCAGTGGGCTGGAAGGCATTGCCGTCTCTTGCCACCCTCAGAATTCTAACTCATTCAGTATTCAGCCACGCGTTCCTTGGCGTCTGTCCCACGGAGGGGCTGCCTGTGACAGGATGCTGTTCTGTGGGTGGCTGCAGGCCATTACCCCCGGCTATGAGCAGTGGTGACGACCAAGGGACTCTTTCCCTCCCTCTCCCAGCTTGTAGGGTGGGGGTGGTCAGCAGGCATTCCCTCAGCAGGGGCACCCAGGCCACGCTGCAGCTGTCCAGCTCACACGTGGACACGGACAGCTTTGTGAAGCGAGCATAAAGGCCGTCAGAGATAGCATCCACACCGCGACAAGTGGCTTCCCTGCTGGCACAATGGGCGACAGGCGTGGGTTTGTCCTGGCTAGTGGGATGGGGGGATGGGCACCCTGGCCTTGCGTGAACTGCGACTGGCAGCCTTTAGGGGAAACACCTCCTCCACATCCCCTGCCAGACCCCGCCCCGTCTGACGTCACAACCCAGAGCTTGCCCTGGTGCTGTCCGATCTGTGCAGGACTTGTACAACTTTGAATGGGAGAAAAGGAATGATTCAGCTCCTTGGCTGCACCAGCCACGGCCCCAGAGTGCCAGCGGCTGCTACGTGGGCCAGTGTAGACAGGAGCCTTTTTCTCAACTCTGAAAGCTCTGGGAGACAGTGTGGCCTTTCTTGGGTGCAGGTGGGTCAGGCACTTGAAAGGACCTAGCCCCAGGGTTTTGTGGCCCCACAGGACAGGCCAACGAGTAGCCTGGAATTTGCACTGGCGAGGACACCGCGGAGAGCAAGGAGGTGCTGGTACCTCCCAGCTGTCGGTGCTGCACTGCAAAGCTCGGTGGCCCCCAAGACCCTGATGTTGGCAGGGAACCCCGGCCTCACCCCCTTACCTTTCATCCAGCCTAGGGTGTACTCGCGCCGGCACTGGGAGCTAGTGCAGTGCGACGTGTAGAAGGTGCCGTGGGCCTCCACCAGGTCCTCAGGCTCCAGCCCTGCCACTCGTTCCAGGGTGTCTATGTTCTGAGGGGGAAAGTGGGAGATACAGGGAAGAGGGGTCAGGTGTGAACACTTCATCTTCCCGTCCAGTCATGGACCGGGTGGCACTTGGTGCCGGTGTCATGGCATAATGGGTTAAGCCACCACTTGCTATACCAGCATTCCATATTTGAGTCTTGGCTGCTCCACTTCCAGTCCAGCTCCCTGCCAATGCACTTGGGAGAGCAGCAAAGGACAGTCCAAGGGCTTGGGCTCCTGCACCCACACAGGAGAGGCAAATGGAATTCTGGGCTCCTGGCTTCAGCTTGGGCTAGTGGATGGAGGATGGGTCTTTCTCTAGTTCTCTCTCTCATCCTGCCTTTCCAATTAAATCTTAAAAAGAAAGGAAAGGAGAATGAAAGAAAGAAAGAAAGGAAAAGATATGGCCTGGTATGGTATCCTAGTGGCTAAAGTCTTCGCCGAGCATGTGCCAGGATCCCATACGGATGCTGATTCTAATTTCAGCTGCTACACTTCCCTTCCAGCTTCCTGATTGTGGCCTGGGAAAGCAGTCGAGGACAGCCCAAAACGTTGGGACCCTGCACCCACATGGGAGACCCAGAAGAAGCTCCTGGCTCCTGACTTCGGATTGGCTCATCTCCGGGCCATTGCGGCCACTTGGGGAGTGAATCATTGGATGGAAGATTTTCCTCTCTGTCTTTCCTCCTGTCTGTATATCTGACTTTCCAATGAAAATAAATAAATCTTTAACAATAAGAAAAGCAATTGTAGCAGGCATTGAGCTCATAGAAGCCACTGGAACTGCTGGGACACAGAAGGGGGAGGGCGGAGCAAGAAGCAGGTGCTGAGTTCTGCTGAGGCCATTCTGCTCATATTGCTGGCTCTACGGAAGGGGTCAGAGAGTCCTGGCCGCTCCCAGCAGTGGCCCAAACTCAAGTTTCCTGCTAAGTTGGACCACTTCAATTTTTCAGAAAAGAACCACACACTTGACTGCCACATGCCAGAAATGTGTTGAGCTAAACAGACATGTAACGTTGCTCTGAGGCGACCTCCTTGAGCAGTGCCCCACCTGCAGAGCTGAACGTGGCAGCCCTGACAAGCACAGACGCACAGCAGTGAAACAGGAGGCTTCTCTGGCCTCCTGGTTTGGCAGCTGGAGTTCTGCATGACGGACGGTACCACTGGTGGCCCAGCAGCCTGTGTTCTTTGGACTCAAGGAGGCATCCCATAGTCGATGAGCCGAAAAATTCTCTTTTATGTGAACATTCGTGCTCTGGGCTTTTCTTAGACCGCCCAGCCCCTGTGGAGCAGCTTTTGTTCTGTCCCCCGGGGGCGAGGGGTCGCTGGGGTAGGGGCTAACAGATGGCACAGACAGGAGGCACAGATGGCCTACTGGGCATGGCCTGCAGCTAAGCTGTCCAGTCTCCTGGAGACTCCACAAGTCTGCTCAGGGGTGGAGTGCTGCGGCAGTCTGCTCTGCTCCCTAGGACCTGTGGATGAGAAGCCCCCGGCCTGGCCTTGCCCTCCTCCCTCATGGTTACACACCCTGCTTTAGCCTTTAGTATACTCGACTCAGTCCACTAACAGCAAAGCAAGCTGTGTACATGCGAAGGACTCAACATCAGGGACTGGCTTCTGTCTCAGAAGCTAAAACTGCCACCTAGGCGATGCCAGCATCCTATTGGCACGCTGACTCCAGTTCCCGGCTGCTCCGTGGCTGATCCAGCTCCCAGCCGATGAGCCTGGGAAAGCAGTGGAAGATGGCCCCCAGATCCTGGGCCCCTGTCACTCACGTAGAAGACCTGCATGGGGATCCGGGCGCCTGGCTTCAGCCCGGCCCAGCCCTGGCCTTCGTGGAATTTAGGGTGTAAGCCAGTGGAGAGATCTCTCGCTTTCTGTTTCTCCTGTTCTCTGTCATTCTGCTTTCCAAATAAATGAATCAATCTTATACAAAACTAAATCGCATGCAATGGAGCACTGGCATCCCACAGTCCTGGCTGCTCCACTTCCCTTGCAGCTCCCTATTATGGCCTGGGAAAACAGCAAATGATGGCCTGGGTCCTTGGGCCCCTGCACCTGTGTGGGAGACCTGGAAGAAACTCCTGGCTCCTGGCTTTGAATCGGCTCAGTTCCAGCTGTTGTGGCTATTTGGGGAGCGAACCAGTGGATGGAAGATCTTTCTCTGTCTCTCCTCTGTAAATCTGCCTTTCCATTTTAAAAAAAAAAATTAAATTTCCTCAAGAAATAAATAGCATGCAAAAAGAACCACACTGGTCCCCTTAGCCATGGGGACACATCCCAGGAACCCCCACAGAGGTCTGACCCGGAGAATAGCACCCAGGGCTCTGCACACACCTTCCTCAGCTTCCCATTGACCCTGCTACCTTGGGCTAGTCTTTGACATCGCTTAGGATGGCGAAATCGACTTAAACCAGAGGGAAGCGGGTCCCTACATGGGGTATGAAATGACCTCAAGACAGTGCAAGGTGCAGGTCAACAGAGGCAGGGTGTGCAGGGTGCAGAACAAACACTTGCAGTCACGCTGCACCAGGGGTGCGCCAAGCTCCAGAATATGTGGCGCAGGTGGCTGCGCTGTGCAAACGCTGGAGCGTTCCTGCACAAACAGCCTTCCAGAACATCATAAATGACACCATTTTTTTTTTATTATTATTGTTGTTTGAAAAAGCAGAGAGAGAGCTTTTCCAGCTGTTAGTTCACTCCCCAAATGCCCACAAGAGCCAGGACCACGCCAGGCCAAAGTCCAGAGTGCAAAACTCCATCCGGGTCTCTCACGTACGTGGCAGGAACCCAGTCACTGAGCCATCACCCCGTGCCTCCCAGCGTGTGCCTTAGGGAAGCGGCACCGGGAGCCAGAGCCAGCCTCTCCGCCGACAATGCACGTGTTCCAAGTGGGGTCTCCGTCAGTGCATCACACACCTACCCCTAATCTAACAGGACCACCGTGGGCTATGCCCCTTGTTGCTAAGTGAAGTGTGAGGTAGCAGGTGACTGCACATGAATTTGTGTGTCTGCCTGTGCTTCGATAGCTCCAAAGAAGAGCAGCAGTGGAGGGAGGGAGACGGGGCACGTGGCGGGAGGAAGCCACTCCCTACGAAAGGGGTACACCATGAGAGTGGTGGCTAGCATTGGCCTTGGCATGGCAGTTGGAATCAGGGCACCCAGGTGGGGAGAAACCTGAGCCAATGGCGGGGGCTGCGGTGGGGTGGAGGTGGCCGCTCCCCTAGGCCGGTCCTCACTCGGCTCCTGTCAACAGCGCTCACTGGCAAAGCTGCCCAGGGGGCGACCAGGGAAGTGCCAGGCAGGAGACTGCACTATGTGAAGGTCTCCTGCCCTTGTAAGCCTTGGTCTACTCTTTGTCTAGGGCAACATTAGCAGCGGCAGGGGCCCAGGCCCTCGAGACACCTGCGGAAATGGAAGAAGCTATCTCCTCCTGCGGAGGAATGAGGCAGCCCCACGCCAAGGTGCCCAGGTCAGCCCAGAGCCTGGGGCTGTAGCTCTGCTCTCACCCTAAGCAGATGCCCTTGCTGGGGGCAGCCTGCTACAGGGTATAGCCTGCAGACTCTGACTCACAACCTCCAACACCCATCCTTATCACTTCTCAAGATCAGCCCATTCTCTGGGCCCGGAGCAGGGGCCTAGTGGCTAAATCCTCACCTTGCAACCACCAGGATCCCATATGGGCACTAGTTTGTGTCCCAGGGGCCCTGCCTCCCATCCAGCTCCCTGCTTATGGCCTAGGAAAACAGTAGAGGATGGCCCAAAGCCTTGGAACCCTGAACCCACGTGGGAGACCTGGAAAAAGCTCCAGGTTCCTGGCTTTGAATCAGATGGCCACTTGGGAAGTGAACCAGCAGATGGAAGATCTTTTTCTGTTGAAGGACTGCCCCCCCCACAAAAAACAGACCACCAAACGCCCAAGAGACCCCAAATCTCAGACGTTCTCAGCAGATGAGAACTCTGCAGGAAGCAAACTTCCTGCCGAGATGGTGGGCCGCCTTGCTGGTTAAGCGTGCCTGGGGAGGTGTGAGGCGTCTTTGCTATCTTCCTCTTTTTTTAAGTGATTGTGGCCTGAACGTATCTGATTATAAGCAAGGTTCTGTTAGATCCCTTTTCTAGTTAGATGCGTTTGTGGGTGTTGATTCCTGTAATTCAAGTTCACTTATCCCGTTGCCTGGCACCTGCTGATTGCTTTCCAAATCCCTTGTGATCTACTGTCAGGGCAGCTTGTATGCTATTGTTTAGTTAACTAGTAACTTTCATCCGCCTGCTTGCCTGGCAAAAAACATGCTCTGAGTTGCCCAGTGTAACTCAAGTGTGCCTTGGCTCATCTTGGCTCTGCATCCCCAGTATCCCCTGAGCTGTTGTTACACCTCAAGTTCGCGGTCCCCACTAGAGGGATCCCTGAGATTTCTCTGTCTCTCCTTCTCTCTGTAACTCTGACTTTCCAATAGAAAATACATACATCTTTTAAAATGAATTTTAAAAATCAGCCCATTCTGGGCCCGGCGCGGTGGCGCAAGTGGTTAAGCCCTCGCCTTGCACGCCCGGGATCCCATATGGGCGCCGGTTCTAATCCCGGCAGCCCCGCTTCCCTTCCAGCTCCCTGCCTGTGGCCTGGGAAAGCAGTGGAGGATGGCCCAAAGCTTTGGGACCCTGCACCCACGTGGCAGACCCGGAAGAGGCTCCTGGCTTCGGATCGGCATAGTATCGACCCGTTGCGGCTCACTTAGGGAGTGAATCATCGGACGGAAGATCTTCCTCTCTGTCTCTCCTCTCTGTATATCCGCCTTTCCAATAAAAAAATAATAAAAATAAATCTTTAAAAAAAAAAAAAAAATCAGCCCATTCTGCATCAAGCTTTCTTTCCCTACCAAACTCCCATTGCTGAGGAGTGTTGCAAGGAAGGTTCTGGGGTTCCCGCTCTTGCCAACTGTGATGTTTCTATTTAAATCTAGAATGGAAAGTCCCTACAAAAGAAGACTTGGCTCCTGACCCAGCTTCCTGCTAGTGGGCACGCAGAGACAACAGTGAGCACCCAAGCAGCGGGGACCCTGCCTCTCCTGAGGGCACCTGGCCTCAGCCTGGTCCAGCCCTGGATATCTGGCAAGTAACCCAGCGGGTGGGGGGTGGGGAGGGCTTTTTCTGACGTTCTGTCTCTCAAATATAATACAAAAAGAAATTAAGAATTCAAAAGAAAAAGAAAGCATTTTCTGTCTGAAATAATAAGCTTATTTTGGTGTGAAATATTTTTGAAATTCATGCACAGTCTTTCCTAACATGCATTTTCCATGAGCTTTCTGGGAAACCCTGGAATGTAACTGACAAGACCCGTGGCGGTTTTGCTGTGGACTTGATGGGCATGACCACTGCGCTCCTGTTTGAATGGGGGCGGTGGGCTGCAGTAAAAAAACAGCAGTGCACACAGCTTCAGAAGTGCTGTGTCGGCACAGCTTGGAGTGAGCGAAGACGGTGTGCTCCGGGAAGCTGGGTGAGTCACTGAGCTGGTGGCTGAGGTGGAAGACGGAGAGTAAAGTGTTTCAGGAAACGCGAGCCTGCAACGTCTCCCCCAGCTTTACAGTTTACGAAACATGCCATTTGAAAATACGGCCTGTTACATTCAATCCATGCAGCGAACACAGCAGACAGGAGAAAGGCCTATATATTTCACATTGGCCTTGGAACATGTTCCTCTTGAGATCTCATGGTACAACAGGCTAAGTGAGCCTCCACCTGTGACGCAAGCATCCCCTTTGGGTATGGGTTCAAGTCCCAGCTGCTCCACTTCCCACCCAGCTCCTTGCTAACACATGTGGGAAAGCAGCAGAAGACGGCCCAAGTGCTTGGGTCCCTGTACCCATGTGGGCAACCCAGAGAGAGTTCCAGGCTCCTGGTTTCTGCTTGGCCCAGCCCTGCTTGCGGCAGCCAGTTGAGAAGTCAGTCAGTGGATGGAAGATCTCTCTCTCAGTCTCTTTCTTGCTCTGGCTCCTAACTGAGGTTCCGGCTCCTGCAGGCCCCAGGAGGCAGTGGTGACAGCTCAGGTGGTTGGGTGTGGCTTAGCGCTGCCCCAAGCTGTTGGAGGATTTCCAGGGAGTAACCAGCATAGGGGAGGGCTAACTCTTTTCATTTCTCAAACAGACAGGGTGAGGCAGAGCAGCTGAACTTCAGGCTGGGACCCTCGCAGCCCATCTCAATGTGCCCGAGTTCGCGTCCCGGCTCTGCTCCCACTTCCACTAACTTCCTGCTGCTGTAGGCTCTGGAGGGAACAGTCAAAGTTCAAGTGCTAAATCCATGCCACGCACGTGGTGGGCCTGGACTGAGTGTCCAGTGCCTGGCTTCAGCCTGGCTCAGCCCGGGGAAGGCTGGGCATCTGGGGAGCCAGGAGGCTCATACCCTTTATGTGTCCATCTGTTCCTGCATATCGCTCAAATAAACTAAAATACAAATTACAGCAGGAGGGTCTACACTGTGGCTCAAGTGGCGAATCCTGCCCCCTTCAAGCACCGGATCCCATATGTGCGATGCGATCCCATACGGGTGCTGATTCATGTCTTGACTGCCACACTGCCCATTCAACTCCCTGCTTGTGGCCTGGGGAAGCAATGGAGAATGGTCCAAAGCCTTGAAACCCTGCAGCCACTTGGGAGACCTGGAAGAAGCTCCTGACTTAGGATCAGCTCAGTTCCTGTTGAGCTGTTACAGCCATTTAAGGAATGAGCCAGTGCACAGAAGATCTTCTCTCTGACTCTCCTTCTCTCTGTAAATCTGCCTTTCCAATATAAACAAATAAGTCTTTAAAAAAGTCACAACAGGAAGCCAAGCACGCGGTTGATGCCATTTCTTCTGGAGTCAAGGACAGAGCGTTGCTTCCACGGGGCTGGGCGGCCCTTCACAACCTCGTCCCGGCCCTGATTTTTCTTCAACTCAGCCCGAACCCCATCTCCACACTGCTTCTCCAGCGTGGGTTCCTATTCTCCGCCATGGCAGTGGACAGGCCTGTTGTCCCTCTGCCTCAAGCTTGTTCATCCAGATAACCCCGAGGCTCCCCCCATCAGCCCTGTAGGCCTTCGCTTCAATGTCACCTCAGTGAGTCACCTTGCACACCTAATTCCTCCTGAACACACACACACACACGTGCATCCGTGTCCTCCCACATACACGGGCACACATATGTACATAGGCAGCACCTGATGTTCCTTCCTGCCAAGTGTGCCTGAGAGACCGACCACTGTGGGACACTCAGGCACCGCTTCCCCGTGCTGCTTGTCACCTCTCCCCGCGTACCAGCTCCAGGGAGCCGGGAATGTGCGCTGCTGGCAGGGCCAGCCACGGGGTGGACACTCAGCAGCTGCCTGTTGGGAGAGCTGACACACAATGCTGCTGATGCTGGGCAGGGGCACACAAGGCACCCAACGCCCCACAGGCGGGCACACCTGCCCTGGCTGAGAAATCTAGATCTAAACAGGCCCAAGTCGCCCCCTGGCGGCAGCGTCTGAGCTTGCAGGCCAGCCGGGTCCAGGAGAAAGAGACTGGGTGATGGACACTTTAGGCTGCTATTCCAGCACCTGCGGCTCCACGGTGGAGGGCTAGCCTGTCCCTGCCCCACTTCCCATGCAATTCCAAGATGAAGTTCTACACCCGAAGTGGAATGCAAACATCTCTTATATTAGGGACCTGAGACGTCAAAAGTGTCCCCATGTCTGCTTGAGCAGCCCAGACTGCGGTCTGGTGCACCCAGCTATAATGCATCCCCAAACAAGTACCCGGTCCTTCCTCTCTGCTGGCCACCCGAACGCCTACCTGCGTGTAGCAGCGCAGGAGCAGCCCTTTCTCCTTCAGCAGGCGGATGAAGTAGTGGCAGGTGGTTGGCTGCAGGGACAGAGCGGCAAGGGCATGGGTCATATAGAGCCTCACAGCCTGGCCCAGCCTCTCTCACCCCAAGGTGTCATCCCCGGGAACCCTGAGAGGGGCAGGCCACCATTCTCCCTGTGTCACAGCCGAGCACACACAGGGAAGCAAGCTTATCTTGGTCAGAGTCACCGGGCCGGGGAGGGGCTGGGTCTGGCTCCACCCGGGGATAACCCAGCTCTGGGATCCGGGTTTTCACCTTGGACAACAGCAATGACTCCATTGTAGAGACAGGAAAAATAGGGCCACATGATGGGGGAACAGTCTGGGCCCTTTCACACTAAACTACTGTATCTGCCTGAAAATTCCTTTTCCCCCTGTCTGCTGTTTCTCTCAATCCCTGATCCCATCTCTTACAAAAAAAAAAAAAAGCAACTCACCTTGAACTGCCCAGGGTAGAGCTCCTTAGCAAGAGCGAAGAAGGGTTCCGGATGTTTCTGTGAGAGAGAGAGCGAGCGAGCTAGGGGCTCCGGGTCTGCTGAGGGTTGGAGCAGGGCCACCCCTCCCCTCCACTCAAGGCAGATGGGAGGAGGCAGGACACACCTTGAAGTAGCCGATCTCAAAGATGGCCTCTGGGTAGGGAAGACGGTACTTCTCCAGGTTGGCATAGAGACCGGTGGTCGGAGAGCGGAAGTCGGGGATGCCGGCAGCTGCAGGCGGAGGGGCAGGGAGCCAGGAATCAGAGAGGCTGGCCCTGTCTGCACCCCGGGGACCCTCTGCGGCCCCCAGTGCTCAGGGAGGCGACACTTACACGTGGAGATGCCAGCGCCAACCAGGCAGATGATCCTGCGACCTGGGAGAGAAATTTTTGTGTCACCTGGGGGTGACCTGCTCAGCCCCTCCACTGCGGTCACATATTCCCAGCCCTGACGTTGGGCGCCGGGCCACGCCCCAGGCCAACACTTCATGGGCACCGTGGTCTTTGCCCTTCTCCACGGAGTGAAGTTGGCACCCCTTATTTACAGCCAAGAAGGGCAAGAGGAGCCAGCAGAGGAACTCAGAATCCATTTATTATGGGGCCGGCACAGGCATGACATATGGGTGCTGGTCTGTGTCCCAGCTGCTCCACTTCCTATCCAGCTCCCTGCTTGTGGCTTGGGAAAGCAGTAGAGGGATGGTCCATGTGGAAGACCCAGAAAAAGTTCCTGGCTCCTAGCTTGTAGTTGTGGGCCTGTAATTGTGGCCATTTGGGAATGAACCAGCAGATAGAAGATCCTCTCTCTGTTTCTCTCCCCCCAGTAACTCACTCAAGTAAAATAAATAAATATTTTTTCAAGAAGGATCTGCTTATCAGAAATTATACCAGTTGGTGCTGGCATTGTGGCATAATGAGTTAAGCCACCTGGGACGCTGGCACCTATAGCAGAGTGCTAGTTGAGCCCCAGCTGCTCTACTCCTGATCCAGCTCCCTGCCAATGTCCCTGGGAAGGCAGTGGAGGAGGGCCCAGAGCCTTGGGACTCTGCACTTGTGTGCAAGACCCAGAAGAAGCTGCTGGCTCCTGGCTTCAGATCGGCTCTATCCTGGCCACTGCGGCAATTTCAGAAGTGACTAAATGGATAGAAGGTCTTCCTGTCTCTTCTCTCTGTAAATCTGATCTATCTTTCCAATAAAAATGAATAAATCTTTTTTAAAAACTATTATTTATTTTTATTTGGAAGGCAGACAAATATATAGAGAGAATTCTTCCACCTGCTGGTTCACTGTCTACATTTCTACGGTGTCAGACCTGGGCGGGCTGATGCCAGGAGCTGGGAACTCTGCCCCATGGGTGTGGCAGCAGCCCGACTGCTTGAGCCTGCTGCCCTGCAGGGTGCACAGGCTGGAAGCTGGCTGATAAGTGGGGATTCAAACCCAGGCCACTCTCACAGAGTGTGTGGCTGTCCCTCGGGGAGTCTTACTGTGCCACAAGGCTGTCCCCACCCGTCACGGCCTGTCCACCATGAGCATGGTAGTCTCCCATCTTCACTAACGAAGGCAGAGGTGGAATCGCACTGCCAGCCTTGTTGCTGCCCAGCAGGTGCCCTGCCATCTGCCCATCAGCGGATGGGCAGATACAACCGTGATGCCCCGTGGTCAGGCACCTCAAGGGCATCCTGTCTGAAGGAGGAGGGCAAGGTGAGTGAAGGGAGGCCTGCCGGGCGGCTGGGCCTGCGTGGTCCCAATGCACAGCTGAGCACAGGAGACCTGGGCTTAAATCTGGCCCCTGCTACTTGCCAGGTGTTTTTCTCACACCAAGTCACAACCTCCCCCTGCCTCAGTTTCCTTCTCTATCCACTCCTGCCATGACCTCCTAGGTGTAAAGTGAAGATCAACAGAGCATGCCTATAGGGCTCGGTACAATGGCTCAATTTGTTCATCCTTGCCTTGCAAGTGGCAGCATCGCATATGAGTGCTACTTCGTGTCTTGGTTGCCCCACTTCCCATCCAGCTCCCTGCTTGTGACCTGGGAAAGCAGTGGAGGATGGTTCAAGGCTTTAGCACCTGCACTCGTGTGGGAGACCTGGAAGAGGCTCCTGGCTCCTGGCTTTGGATCAGCTCAGCTCCAGCCATTGCAGTCACTTGGGGGTGAACCAGCGGACAGAAGATCTTTCCCTCTGTGTCTCCTCCTCTCTGTCTAAAGTTTCTGTCTTTCCAATAAACATAAATAAATCTTTAAAACAAAAACAAAATAAGAGCATGCCGGTAAAGTGCTTAGCCCAGTCTGATTTGTCACTTCCCTTTGATGGGTCTCGGGCCAGGCCCCCCCAGCTTAGCTGCAGAAATCCATGCACTCTTTGGAGCCCCACATAGCCAGATGATGGTGGCAGACAGCTGCCTTGGCCTGCCCCTATAGAGGGCAGAGGCTGCCCAAGCCGAGGAGGGAGCTGGCAATAGCTAGGGCCTGGGGAAACCAGAGAAGACTCCTTCACAAAAGGCCGTTCAGGCCCCAAAAAAGGGGGCAATTGTTCCTGTCAAGGACTGCGGAGAGCCTGGTTTCTCAGACTCTACTGAGCTCAACCCATGGCAAATCTCGGCTGTGTGGTGGCCCCTGTCGATAGGCACCAGCTGACAGGCACGATAGTGGGCCTGGGGACAGCTTCCAGCAGTGCCAGCCGCAGTGCCACCGCCCCGCCCACGGCAGCAGCCTGGCCCAGCTACAGCTGCTCATATCTGTATTTACTCATTTACCTCTCCGGAGAGCCCAGTGAGTTAGGAGCTATCACAGACACAACTTGCCTAAACTAAAATATAGTACAAAAAGAAAAAAAACCACAACTTGCCTAAACTGAACATCCAATAGGAGCCCCCGTCACCACCTCTGTGAGCGCTAATATGACACCACAAGTGGGAAATTCCACTTCTGAGCTCATGAGATGGGTCATGATCAAAATGCAGGTGCATCAAAAATATTGCATAAAATTCTCTTCGGGCGGTGCACCTAAGGTGTTCACAGAGCGTAAATGGCTTCTGGCGGTCAGGGGCTGGTGCGATGCAGTGGGTTGAGCTGCCAACGCGCCTGGGGAAGCAGTCCAAGATGGCCCAAGGATCTGGACACCTGCCACCCATGTGAGAGACACAGAGCAAGCTCCAGGCTTCTACCAGCCTGGTCCAGGTCCAGCTGTTGTGCCATTTGTGGAGTGAACAAATAGGTGAAAGATCTCTAGCTCTCCCTCTCTCTGCCTATTAAAAAAAATACAGCTTTAAAAATAATGATAATAATAATAAACAGGGAACACTCCTCATCCTGCGTGACACGCCCAGTCTCTGAACCAGGCCCAGCCAACTGGAGCCCAGTGGGTCCTTGCATGACGGAGCTGCCCCATCAGGACCAGGCAGGTGACGCCTGCCTGCGTCAGCTGGAGCCAGCCTTTGCTTTTGCACTTGAATCACTAGGGGGGGAAACAAAACAAACCATGATATCCTTCAGTGGGAGCTGCTAGGCGGGGATAATTTGCGTTTGGAGGCACCAGGGGTTGGTCTTTATCCCAACACAGAAACAGAATTTCTGAGAACACAGAAGAAGCATCTGGATGCAGCCACGCTTGCACCAATGTTCAGTGTTTGGGGTAGGGAGTGGCCTGGGGCTGGAGCAGAGGAAGGGCCCCGGACTTACAGCGGTCACTTTGGATGTAGCGGCTCACCCCTTCCAGGGTGAGCTCGTCCAGCAGACGCTCCTTCTGGGTGCCCAGGCCCAGGGTCTGGGAGAAGAGGTTCCGTAGGAAGTCCACTGCCAGAAGGAGGGAGACAAGGGCCAGGTGGGCATGCAGCCAGGTGGCATGGGTGGCCTCAGGGGCCCTGCCCCAGCCCAGGGGTCCCCAGCCTCCCCACCACAGAATGCCCAAAGCCTGACCTGGCCAGCAGCCCCCAGGACTACACTGTTGGTGGCGCCGAGGGGCTGTCCCCCAGCCCCTGCTCTAAGCCCTCCCCATCAGCTACTCACTCTCGGCTTCTCCACCTGCTGCTCCGGCCTCAGAGTCAGAATCAGAATCCTGCAAGAGGGTGGGGTGGGGTGGGGTGGGGTGGGGTGGCCAAGTCAGAGAGGTGAGAGGGGATAAAGAAGTGGGGGAGGGAGAGCCCCAGCACTGGGCGACACAGGCTCCAACCAGGAGGGCCAGAGCTGGGGCCCAGGGTCAGAGAGTGGGGTGATGCTGGGAAGGACGGGCTCCTCTGTCTCCAGGTCCTGGCTTGGGTGGCAGGGACCCCTCTCAGCAAGGGGAGGGGCTTGCAGCCCGCAGTGGCAAAAGGAATGGGGGAACCTCAGTAAGTACTGATTGTAGCCATAGTCCCATGCGTGGTGTCCCCTGTCCTCTGTCACAGGGTCCCTTGCCCAGCTGCCCTACTCACCAAGGTTGTGCCTCACTATTGCCCGATCCCCCACGCCTTGCCTGACGCCCTAACTCCCCCTTAGTCAGCTCTCCCCTAGGTGGGAGGACCCTGTCCTGGGTCCCTCTCCACCTTTGCAGCTCCTCAAGTGCCACTGGCGTGGTGATGTCACCTCTCTGTCCCTACACCTGGGGTTCTGCACCATATCCCCGCACAGGCTTCCATGGCCATCTCCCGCAAAAGCACTCTTCTATTGGCCTTATCTCAACGTAGACTCCCTGTCCCCTGATTAGCTCAGTGGCCCTGCTGCCTCGGTTCCCCACCCCTGCCGCTGTCCTCAGCTCTCAGCAGGCTCCCTCTGCCCCCTGACCCCTTCTGGCCACCACAGGGCTCCGGGACCAGCTTGTCTTCTCCCCGGAATGGGGGGAGACTGCTGGGGATCCCCTCTGGTCTCCCCGTGCTGGGCTCCACCTGGAGGGCTCTCCCTTCTCCCCAGCTGCTCCGGCCCCCTCACTCGGTCACAGAAACACACTCTCCTGTATAAACCTCTTGCACAATCGCAGCCTGCTGCTCCTCACCCCCTTTCCCAGGCCCATCTGATTGGGAACCTCACTTTGCAAACACACTGAAATGGTTTCCATTCCTTTTAAAGATTGACGAGTTCTTGCAAAATGCCGACCATTAGGGGCCAGGGTTGTGGCATGGCCAGTTAAGCCTCTGCTTGCTAGGCTGGCACCTCATACAAGCACTGCTTACAGTCCCAGCTACTCTGCTTCGGATCCAGCTTCCTGACAATGTGCCTCGGAAAGTGGTGAAGGACGGTCTAAGGGTTTGAGCCCCTGCACCCATGTAAGAGACCTGGAAGAAGCTCCGGGCTCCTGGCTTTGGCTTGGTCCAGCCCTGGCTGTTCTGACCATTTGAGGGATGAACCAGCAAATAGAACTTTTCCCTGCAGATCTCCCCGGTAACTCTGCTTTTCAAATCAACCAATCAATCAATCGTAAGGGGGAGGGGGAATCAATCATTAGACAATGTATAACTTAGGCCCTGGCCTTGTAATTCCCCCCTTCACTCCCACTCCTGCTGAGAGAAACACTACAGCCAGCTCAGTGTAGCTACTCTATCGGGGAATTTTTTTCTCCACACAGAAACCCTCATTATTGCGCCAGGGCCATGCCCCAGGACGCCACTGCACCTTGCGTCCTCCCACAACGGCGTGCTACAGGCCACCTCATTCTCCCCAGTGGCTGCATAGTGCTTCATTGTGTGTGGAATCATAGCCCATTTAACCCATCCACGGACAGCCACTGGGACTGTCCCCAGTGTGGCCCAAGGATGGACAATACCACAATTTACAGCCTCACATGGCTGCCATCTGGAGTGAGGATTCCTTTTGGACAGGAAACCTTTTTCCCTCTTAGTGGTCCTGCTGGAGGAGCCAGGCGGGTGAGACAGCAGTCGCACGTGCACAGCCCCATGTGCCAAACAAACCCATCTCCTGCGTACGTCAGGGTGTTGGGCCGCAACGTTTTTTCAGACCACACACAGCAAGGTCCTGTGAGACCCGCTCAGCATCTGGGGGAGCTGGAGATACTGTCCATGACCCCATGTGACCCTGCAGGGTCTAGAAGGCAGCATGCCAAACGCCCTGCATTTCCTACAGCTGAGGGACAGAGGTCGGGCTAGGTATCAGCTCTGCCTCAAACTGCTCATCTGTGAAATGGCCAGGATGAAATACAGGCTGGGAAGATTCAATGAGCTAGAGCTCCAAGCAGACACTGCCCAGCTGACCGTGTCACACCCAGCCACCCAGCTCCTGGACACATCACCTGCTCACGCCCCTAGCCCTTGCACAGCCCCTGTACCAGCTGCATGGCACAGCCTCGCTCGCCTTGCCTGAGTTCCAAGTCATTCTCACTGACAACACCGCGTACGGCTCCGGGTCTGATGCCTAGGCCGAACTCTGGAGTCTAACTGGGAGAGGCCTGGCTGGAACTTGGCATGATCCAGCAGGAATGTGCGGGAACCAGGTGGGACACCTGACTCTCCCAGGCCAGCACACAGGAGGTTAGGAAGGAAGGGGAGGGGACAGGTGGCACTGGGGATAGAGGGCAGTTTAGGAGACCAGGGCCCAGGCAGCGAGACTGCTCATCTCTCTCTCTGTCTATCTCTCTCGGAAGTCCCCAACACACCCAGCCTTCCCGCAAAGGGCTGCACCCTGACAAGAGGTGGGGCGAGGGCTGGGGGCAATGAGCCGAGGGTCCCCGGGGGGGTACAATCTCCCCTCTGCCACCTCCTCCCACGCCCTCCCCCGAGAGTGGGGTGCAACAACATAGCCAACTTTGTCCTTCCCCTCCACCCTTCCCCGCATCTCACCTGGGCCTCCTGCACCTTCCCTGCCTGCGTCTCCGGAGGGTCAGAGGCTGGGGGAGGAGGGGAGCAGACGTGGTTATAGTGGAGGGAATGGTTAAGGGGGGGACACAGGGGCTCAAGCTAGTGGTGGGGAGGGGCACGGGGCCAGTAAATACAGAGGTGACAGAGGCAGGGACAGAGCAGTAACTGTTGGGAAAGTGAAGGGGTTGGCAGCAGTGGCGGGGGGGGGGGCTAGAATGGCTGAGAAGGGGAGGACTGGAAGAGCAGGTAGGGGATTCAAGGCTGACAAACTTAGCAAGAGTTAGGAGGGACATGGTAGGGTGTATTTGGGGAGGGAGAGAGGGGAATTTAGAGGAAGACAGAAGGATGAAGAGGTGGGTTTGGGGCAGAAGGTGCGCGGGAGGTGATGGGTTCAGGAGAGGCACAGGAACCAGGGAGAACAGATAGCACCAGACAGCAGGGGACCCCTAGCATCCTACAGTTGCCCCTGACAACACCCGAGACGGCGGCAACTTTCGTCCTCAGCAACCAAAGTGTGAGCAACCCACAATCACAGTTACTTGGCACAGACCATTCAGAACCTCGCGCCCCGGAGACCCACCGCCCGGTGAGGCTGGATCACCTCGCGACCACCCTCGGAACTCCACTCCTCCAGTGTAACCCCTTGCTGCCAACCCGCCGCGCCCGCCCTCGGGCCCCGGGGCCTGCAGCCCTCGCCAGGCCCCGGAGCGGCCCGAACTTCCCACCGGGGTCCCCGACTCACGATCCGGCTCGGCCATGGGCTCGGGGCGGGGGCCCTCGGGGCTGTCACCGACTGCTCTGTCCCGTGACGGCACCGGAAACAGAAGGGACAGGCATCGGGCAGAGAACTACGACTCCCAGCAAGCATCTCGGTCGCATACAAAGCTTTCAGGAAGATGCTGGAAAGTAGGACTACAACTCCCAGAGGGCATGGCGGTGGAAGTCATGTCAGTAAAGGGCGCTCGGAAAATGTGGGAATAGCCCGAGACCGGCCGTGCATCCCAGTACGTTGATTGGTTGTCCTGCAGCATAGGGGCGGGGCCTGAATGATTTCGCCCACTCTCATTGGATTTGCCAGGGGGGCGTGTTGGGGAATTTCCCACAGGGCGGAAGTGCCGGAGCTCCGGGCAGAGCCCAGCGGCAGGCAGGGAGCCGCGGGGGTTCCCTTGAGTTGGCTGGGCCATGGCCGGGGTCGCGTGTTTGGGAAAAACTACGGACGCGGATGAATGGTGCGACAGCGGCCTGGGCTCTCTGGGGCCGGACGCAGCGGCGCCAGGAGGACCGGGGCTGGGCGCAGAGCTGGGCCCGGGACTATCGTGGGCACCCCTGGTTTTCGGCTACGTCACTGAGGATGGAGACACGTGAGTGACCTTACGCTATTAAACGAAGCCCTCGGATCCCATCCCGACTCTCTATTAATTTCTGATCCCGGAGGTTTCCGACTTCTTCACTCCGTTCTTGGGCTTCCTGACTTGTATATCCACGCCCCCCCATCCTCATTTGTAACAAAACCCCGTTTCCTGTTAACTTTGATCCTTATCTAATCATTACCCACCTTCCTTGAGCTGTGAACCCACATCTTAACCCACTGGTGCTCTAGCCCGCTTGACCTCTGTCCTCGGCCCCCAAAACCATAGGCGGCACTCAGACCCTGCCCCCCACTGCCACTGGACGACCCCCGGGGTGCCGTCTTTGCGCCTCAACTCTGATTTCCTAGCCGTGAACTTGGAGTTCTGTAAATGGGTACTTGGTCCCGTCTCTGAAATTCTAAAAGAAGGGTTGATCCCGCGGGGATTCTTGCCCATACCCAGGCCCTGCTTGAGTCACGGCCGAGAAGAAAACGGAGACTTCTGACCACGGGAAGGAGGGACAGTGGGTAAATCGCGGAGAAGAGTCTGCTAGGGAGAAGGTGTGGCCGCTGGAGGGACCCAGGTGGGGTGGTCACCTGAGTTGGTGAACTTCTTCAGAGTTGGGGACCCCTAGGAGGTGGGACTGAGCCATTGGCCAGGGTAGCTTTCGTTAATGTTCTCTCTCTTCACGCTGTTACGCTGGTCCCTATCCTGATTTTTCTTTTTATATTTCTTTTTTTTTTTTTTCCTTATTATTTCAAAGGCAGATTGAGAGAGAGAAGGAGAGACAGAAGGGGAGAGCTTTCATCTGCTAGTTCCCTCTCCAAGTGGCTGCAGTGGCCGGAGCTGAGCTGATCTGAAGCCAGGAGCCAGGAGCTTCTTTTGGGTTTCCCACACGGGTGCAGGGACCCAAGGGCTTGGACCTTCCTCGACTGCTTTCCCAGGCCACAAGCACAGGGAGCTGGATGGGAAGTGGAGCAGCCAGGACATCAACCAGCATCCATATGGGATCCCGGTGCTTGAAGCTGAAACATTAGCCTGCTGAGTCACCATGCAGCCCCTAAAGCTTTATTTACTTATTTTGCAAGTCAGAGTTAGAGAGAAGGAGAGCTTCTCCATCCTCTGGGTCACTGCACAGATAGCCACAATGGCCAGGAGCTCCATCTGGGTCTCCCGAGTGAGTGATAAGGGCCCAAGCCTTGAGCCATCTCCAGCTGTTTTTCCCAGACCATAAGCAGGAACCTGGATGGGAAGTGGAATAGCTAGGACATGAACTGGCATGGGATCCCTGATGCTTGAAGGGGGAGGATTTAGCCACTAAGCCATTGCCCTGGGCCCTAGGGCTTAGCAAATTTTAAGCACTGTTATTAGGGCACCTGATAACAGATTTATTAAATATTGTTGCTCCTAATGGATCTCATTATCATTGTGAAGTTACCTTTGTTATCTGTGATAATATTCCTTGCTCTAAAATCTCTGTCTGAAATGAAAATACTTGGTTTGTTTATCTGGAAGGCAGAGTAACAGAGAGAAATTTTCCATTTACTGATTCACTCTCCAAATGGCCACAGTGGCTGGGACTGCGCCAGGCAGAAGCTAGGAGCCAGGAGCATTGTCCAGGTCTCCCGCCTCCCCCGGTGCAGGGGCCCAAGCACTTGGGCCTGCCTCCATTCCCTGACAGGTGCATCAGCAGGGAGTAGATGGGATTGGAGCAAACAGAACTGGAGCTGTGGTTCAGGATGCGGGGATCACTGGCAGCCTCAATGCTGGCCCCACTACGACATTTAGGGGGTACTCATTTTTGTAAAGAAATATTTATTTTCATTGGAAAGTCAGAATCACGGAAAGAATGATCTGTCTACTGGTTCACTCCCCAAGTGACTGCAATGGCTGGAGCTGAGCTGATCCAAAACCAGGAGACTGGAGCTGGGAGCCTGGAGCCTCTTCCTGGTCTCCCACACAAGTATAGGGTTCCAAGGCTTTGAGCTGTCCTCCAGTGCCTTCCCACGTCAAGCAGGGTGCTGGATGGGAAGTGGAGCAGCCAGGACTCAAACTGGAGCTCCTACGGAATCCCAGCACATGCAGGGTGAGGATTTAGCCACTAGGCTATCATGCTGGGCCCTTTATTGTACCTTTAAAGTATAATAAAGTCCTTAAAGTATCTTCATTCAGAACTTTAAGACAGCAGTTGGTAAACTATGACCTCCAGGTAAAATCCAGCTAACAGACTTTTAAGACTGATCTTTATACTTAATAGAAAAATAGGAAAATATTGCTCGGCAAGTGAAAATTACACGAAATTTTTATGTTGGATCCCATGCTCATTCACATGCATATCATGTCCCCGGGTCCTTTTGCACTATGATAAAAGAATTGAATGGGGAGAAAAGGCCAGGTGACCCACAAAGCTGAAAACAACTACCCAGCCCTTCATTGAAAACACTTGCTGATCCCTGCTCCACTTCCCATCCAGCTCCCTGCTTGTGGCCTGGGAAAGCCGTTGAGGACGGCCCAAAGCCTTGGGACCCTGCATCCGTATGGGAGACTTGAAAAAGTCTCCTGGCTCCTGGATTTGGATCGACACAGCTCCAGCTGTTGCAGCTGCTTTGGGAGTTAATTATTATTATGTCTCTCCTTCTCTCTGTATATCTGACTTTCCAATAAATAAATAAATAAATAAATAAATAAATAAATAAATAAATCTTTCTTTAAAAAAGGACTAAGTAACCAAGGCCTAAACCGTCATTGCCATCTCGGATGTGGATGTCCCAAACCAAAACCTAACCCACTGCTCCAGTGCTTGCCCAGCGTGATGCATGAACCTTAGCTTGGACCGTCCCAGCTGGTGCCATCTGGCCCCAGGGCTGCAGCCACGATGCCAGGCACTCAGTAAGCTGTTTCTCTACTCTGTCCCTGCCTTTGTCCACAGGGCACTACACTTGGCCGTCATCCATCAGCATGAGCCCTTCTTGGACTTCCTCCTGGGCTTCTCAGCAGGCACCGAGTACCTAGATCTGCAGAATGACCTAGGCCAGGTGAGGTGCTGGAGCACAGGGTGGGTGGGGGATTGGGGTACTCAGTACCACGCCTCACCCCTGCCTGTCCCCATAACACCCCCAACCCCTGCTCCTGCAGACAGCCTTGCACCTGGCAGCCATCCTGGGGGAGGCATCCATAGTGGAGAAGTTGTACGCAGCTGGCGCTGGGGTGCACATCGCTGAGCGTGGGGGCCACACAGCGCTGCACCTGGCTTGCCGTGTGGGGGCGCACGCCTGCGCATGTGTGCTGCTCCAGCCCCGCCCCCAGCGCCCCAGGGACTACCTCACTCAGAGCCTCGAGCACCCCGAGCACCCTGAGCATGCCTCCCACACCAACCACACCTCAGTTGCCTCAACCCCGGAACCTGACTTGGAGAAGGAAGAGGAGGAGAATGAAGAGGATTGGAAGCTGCAGCTGGAGGCTGAGAACTACGAGGGTAAGTACCCTGGGTGCTGGCCCCAGTCACCAGGTACCTTGGCTTGAGGGACCGCCGCCGTTCCTTGGGTCCCAGCTGATTCATGGCAGTACACATGGGACCCAGGGACCCCTACCAGGAGGCCCTAGATCACTTGGGACCCGGAATCTTCACCTCAGATCTAGAGTGGCCAAGACCCCGCCTCCACCTGCAGACCTTAGGGTCCAGCACCCCCCTCCCCGAGCCCCAGGTCCCTGTGAGAACCTGGCACCCCAGATTTGCACCATGGAAAGTCCTCCTCAGCTGCCTGTGGCTACCCACCAGTCCTGAGATCTGAGTCCCAAGTGCCCCTCTGTGAGCCCAGCTGGCACCAGGGTACAGGGAGGAGATGGGACCTCCCTCCCACCCCAGGGCCCAGACCCGTGAGCTCTTTGGAACTTGTGTCCTTATGGAGTAAGAGCAAAGACTCAGGCTGCCTAGCCCTGAGGTCCAGACCTCTCTTCTCTCCATGCACGGCCCCTGCAGTGTGTGCAGTGCCCCAAGACACAGACATTTGGGGTATGGGGGCTTCCTTGACATATCCTGGCCCTTTGGAGCTGGCCCAAAGGACCATGAGGCCACGTGGCCCTCTCCCAGTACCCTAGCCTAGGCCCCTCGCCCCGTGGTCTGATAGCATTCATTGTGTCTGCAGGCCACACCCCACTCCATGTGGCTGTCATCCACAAAGATGCAGAAATGGTCCGCTTGCTGTGTGACGCTGGGGCCGACCTCAACAAACCGGTGACGTGCCCTTGGGGGTCAGGGAGGAAGCTGGGGGGAACAGGCGCACCTGCGACCAGCCCTTGACCTCTCTCTGCCGCTGCCACAGGAGCCCACATGTGGCCGGAGCCCACTGCACTTGGCCGTGGAGGCCCAGGCAGCCGACGTCCTGGAGCTCCTGCTGAGGACCGGTGCACACCCTGCCGCCCGCATGTATGGGGGCCGCACCCCGCTGGGCAGCGCCCTTTTGCGGCCCAACCCTACCCTTGCCCGCCTGCTCCGCGCACATGGAGCCCCGGAGCCTGAGGACGAGGACAGACCCAGCCCCTCCAGCAGCAGCAGTGACAGTGACAGCGATAGTGACAACGCGGATGAGGGCGTGAGTCCAGAGGAAACCCCAGGGGTGTGGAGGGGGGTGGGGCTGATGGGAAAGGAAGGAGAACCACCATGGGCAGGCACGTGGACAAGCAGAGGTAGAGAGAAGCCTGTGGTCACAGTGGCTGCTGGCAGGTGCGTACAGGCCACGATGGGACTCCTAGAAGAGGTGGGGACAGGAAGCCAGAGAGCCCACGTGACAGAGATGTGACCCTGGGCAGAGACAGTGTGGCATGTCAGAGACCACGGTCTTCGGGCAGGAGAGAGGTCTGGAGTTGCCGCAGAGCAGCGGCCAAGGCCACAGCCTGAGTTTAATGGGGGAGCACAAGGCATAGCAGCCATGACCTTGAACACGGGATTATGAGAACGAGGAGCAGAGGGGCTGAGTCGGCATGTTGGGGCTCGGGCCTTCGAGGGAGTGGTCCTTAGGATGCTGTGTGCCACCTTGGGCAGGGGGTAAGGTGGCTGTCGCCATAAGTCTCCTGCCTACCCGCCTTTGTCCCCAGACTGAATATGATGACATCGTGGTCCACAGCAACCGGAGCCAAAGCCGGCCATCTCCCAGTCCGCCCTCCAAACCTCGCCCCGAAGACCCCACCTCTGTCTGATTTTTAAATTGTTAATATAATTTCCCATTTAATAAACAGTTCTGACACCTCGACACGAGGCTGATGGCTGCCTTTCCCAGGCTCCCTGCTCCCTGACCCCCACATGGCCACACCCGGATCCTTGGTTTTCTCTGCTTTATTTGCTCAGAAGGGCTGGCAAGGGGCGGGATAGGTGTGGGGGGCATTTCCTGAGTCAGGTCTGAGCCCAGTCTCCCTCCCCAGCTCAGACTGGGGTCCCACACCCCCCCAGCTTGGTTCCAGGGCACCTTTCTACCACTGCCGGGCAGGCAGGTAGAAGAGTCAGGTGCCAGGTGAGGCGGGGGGTGGGCCTGGCAGGAGAGCAGTCCTGAGCCATGAGAAGTGCAGGGAGGAGGAGACGGTGGGGGGGAGTGTCAGGGGGTCTCAGCCGTCCCTCCTGAGCTCCCGCCCCAGCGCCTCAGACGCCTTCCTCAGCTCCTCTGACACGTGGACCAGCCGCTCCGTATCCTGCTCCTAGTGGGACCAGAAATGGGGGAGGGGTTCACCAGGCTTCATTGTCTGCCCCGGAAGTGATGTGGTGGGCCAGTGTGACTGGCACCAAGGTCCATACTGATGGCCATAGCCGGAAGCAACGGCCATGGGACTAGTAAGGCTGCCCCACCTGGGTGACCCTCAGGTTACTGCAGCCCGTTGCAGCCACGTCTTGCCTCCCACAACCACACAGTGGCGTCACTTGTGGTAAACCAGCCCAGTAGCCACTCGTCATATGGCCAGCCCCCCGTGGGCCCTGCAGCCCACTCACCTCCCTCTCAGCAGCCTCAGTCCCAAGTGGCAGGTGCTGTTGCTGATGGTGATGGTGCGGGTAGGGGTCGCCAGCTCTCTCGGGCCCCTGCCACAGGCTGTGGCCTCCACCAGCCACATGCACGCCCTTCTCCTCCGCCTCGGCCTCCCGCTTCTGGGGGTCCCCTCCATCCTCGGAATGCAGCTTCCACAGGTGCTGCAGGCCCTCCACAAGCTCTTGCTTCTGCAGCTCCTCCTCCTCCCGGAGGAGCTGGCGGTGGAGCTGCTCCAGGCTCTCTGAGCGCTGGGGCCTGACCACAGCCTCCGGAGAGATCCTATGGTAGAGCCGCTCCAGGTTCTCCGAGTGCTGGGGCCTGTCCGCGGCTTCAGCCTCCGGAGAGATCCTGTGGTGGAGCTGCTCCAGGTTCTCCGAGCGCTGGGGCCTGTCCGCGGCTTCAGCCTCCGGAGAGATCCTGTGGTGGAGCTGCTCCAGGTCCTCTGAGGGCTGGGGCCTGTCCGAGGCCTCCTCCTGGTCCCTCCCCTGCTGCTCAGCCCTCGGCTCTGCCTGGCGGAAGTACCCAGGCAGCAGGCTCCACGGGGAAAACTGGCAGGTGGAGGGCTCCACGTGGCACTTCTCATTCAGGAAGACGGAGCTCTCTGCATAGCACATCGGGAAAACCCAGGGAGGGAGGGCTGGATGGGCGGGGGCTGAGTCCCTTCAACGGAGACATACAGAACTGGAAGAGGATAAAGCTGGTGGGCATGCCAGGATAGTCCGGGTGTGGGAGAGGGGGCAGTGCTAGGGCGCCCACTCCTCACCTCGGAGCAGAGACGTGCAGGGGCTTCTCGGGGCCTGGCCCAGCGTCAGGATGTCGGTGACCACCTCTGCCAGACAGCGGGTCAGCTGCGGGGACAACGGGGAGGAGTGATGAGGGCGCTTGGAGGGGAGAGCGGGCAGGAGGTCAGCGAGACAGAGCGGAGGGTCGACGGTGCTCACCTCCTGCTTGGAAGGGCCGGTTGGCAGAGCCACGGGAGCAGCAGAGGCTGTGGAGGGAGAGAGGACGGGGCGCTGGGCTCCGGGCGATGCCAAGGGGCGCGGGCCGGGGTATGGATCGCCCCACACGCGGCCCTCGGTCCCCACACGTGCTCCCCACGGTCCCCCGGGGGTTTAGGGTACCCACTGGTCGCCAGCAGCAGCAGTACCAGCAGCGTGGAGGGGAGCCCGAGGCGCGGCATGGCGCGAGATGGCGGGGCCTGCATCCCAGGTGTGAGGGCCGACGTACCAGCGTCCTTATATCCCCGCATGGCGGCCCCTGCAGGGAAGGAAGTGACGTCAGTCTCGTGGCCTGCGGCGGGGCGACAGCTGCGGGACGGTCCGGGCCCCCACCGAGATCCTCAATTATTCATGGGGGGCCCCACGCCTTGCCAGCCTTGCCAGCTCCGAGAGGGGGCGGCATCCCTGGCTTGGAATCCACAGCCGCTGGCGGCCCGCCCTCCACAAGGCCCTGCTGGGCCTCCTTTCCTCAAAGTCGGTCTCCCAAATCGACGTCCTTGGAGTGGGGTTGCAGAACAGGCTGGGACAGCGACCGCCTCCGGCCCCCAGCTTGGCCCTACACTGCTGGTGACAGCTTGCCGTGGGAGCCGTCGTCTGGGTCCTCGGGCAGGACCAGGTGCTGGGCACCGCACAGGCCCCAACACCTTCTGGTTAATGAGCGCCTCTTTTGGGCCTTAGCGGACCCTGCCATGAACAACATGTTTTGAAATTGTAGATGAGACACCCTTCAAAACCAAATTTGCACTTCCGTTCCATTTTCCTGCCACTTTTATCCCCATCACGTCCTCCCCTAAGATTGATTTTTAATATTATTTTGATAATCTTTACATAGTTGATTAAGGCACAAAGGGTCAAGGCCAAGATTGATTTTTTTTTAAAGATTTATTTATTTTTATTGCAAAGTCAGATATACAGAAAGAAGAGACAGAGGAAGATCTTCTGTCCAATGATTCACTCCGCAAGTGACCACAACAGCTGAAGCTGTGCCGATCCAAAGCCAGGAACCAGGAGCCTCTTCCAGGTCTCCCACACTGGTGCCACACATGGGTACGTGCGTGTGGGGACCTAGGCCACAAGCAGGGAGCTTGTGGGAAGTGGGGCTGCTGGGATTAGAACCAGTGCCCATACGGGATCCTGGTGCCTGCAAGGTGAGGACTTTAGCCACTAGGCTACTGCGCCAGGCCCCAAGATTTTTTTATTTGAAAGGTAATTAGATATTTTCCATCTGCTAGTTCACTCTCCGAATAGATGCAGTGATTGGAGCTAGGCCTGTCCAAGGCCAGGAGCCAGGAGCTTTAGCCTAGTCTACCACGAGGGTGCAGGGTCATCCTCCACTTCCTCAGGCCGTAAGCAGGGAGCCAGATGGGAAGCAGAGCAGCCAGGACACAGAAGGGAACCAATATCGGACCCGGCACTGCAGACAGCGGGTTAGCCCACTATGCCTCAGCACCAGCCCCTTTGCCACCACTTTTCTGAAGTTCTAGATCCTGTATGGAAGTGGGTGCTGGGATTTTTCTCCTAAGAGGTGACGCTCAGCTGAGTAAAACAGAGGCAAGCAAGAGGCCACATGGGGAAGGGGTGTGGAGGACTACAGCAGCTGGCCAGTGGCTCAGGTGGGGCTTGTGGAACACAGCTGGAAGCCAGACGCACACCTGCAGGAGGGCTGAGCAGGGCGAGGGTACGAGGAGCCGGTGTTCCTGCATTTCCTCAAGGGGGAACATGAGGGTGGAGAGGGCCCAGGAAGGAGAGCAAGGGGCAGATTCTAGAACATTCTGACGGTCAAGCTGCCAGGTATACTGCTTAACTGGAGGTGTCCAGAGCTGAGGCCTGAGCACCTGGGCAAGGTGTGAAAACAGGATTGCCGAGGAAGTGCGACTGGAGGTCCCCTGGACTCTCAGGAGCTTGTGATGCTACTGGGGCCTGCCCGGAGCCGGGGAAGGGGCGGCTGGGCATGGTGCTGGGGCTGCGGGTGGGGCTGGGTCAGGAAATGGATCCAAAAACAGCACTGTGCCCTGGCCGTGCTCAGCGGGGCTCTTTTAGTTCCTCTGGTGGCCACAGGCCACCTCTCACATGCTCTGGGTGTGGAACCTTCTGGTTCTTGCAGTGACCCAGCACCTCCTGGGCAGCCGGGCATTATTTTATTTAAAATTTATTGATGTGAAAGAGCCACAGAAAGGCAGAGATCTTCCATCCAAGATGGCTGTACTGGCAGGCCAGACTGGATCCAGATGCCAGGAGCGCCATCTGCGTCTCCAGCAAGGTTGGCAGGAATCAAGCATTCAGGGATAAGCAGGGAGCTGGACTAGAAGTGGAGCAGCCGGGACTCCAACAGGTGCCTGTACGGGATGCTGGCTTCACAGGTGGTGGCCTGGCTTGCAGTGCCATGGTGCCAACCCCATTAAGGCCCCCGAGTTGCCCATTTGTTGGGGGACGTTCTGCTCAGTGCTGCGGTGGAGACCCGGCCCTCCGCTTCTCCTGTTCGAGGCTGCACACCAGGGACAGCGGTCAGTGGTCAGTGACTGTGCCTGGGGAAGGCAGGGAAGTAGGAGGGGCAGGCCCTGGAGTCCTGCCCCCTCACGAGCCCTGGTGGTATTGAAGCAGGCTCAGGACAGCAGCCCCTGGCGTCAGTGTCCAGCTCTCCTGGCCAGAAGGGGCCTCAGCTCCGTGCAGGCTGGCCGGGGAGCCGCGGCTTCTGCGGCTGGTTGGGGCCGATGTACTGGAGCGGTGCGTGGGTGGGCGCCGTGATGCAGTCAACACCGAGGTAGGGCTGCAGGGCAGGGGGCACGCGGACCGAGCCGTCCTGCGGGGAAAGCAGCTCTCAGGACGCTGTCACCGCCCAGGCCCTGCCAGCACTAACCCACCAGGGGCTCACCCTGTGCCCCTCACCTTCTGTTGGTTGCTTTCCAGGAGGGCGATGAGCAGGCGAGGGACAGCGCAGGCCGTGGCATTCACCTGGGGGCACAGGTGTGCTCAGGAACTCCCTGCAGGCTTTCCCCTCTCCGCAGGAGGGTCTGGGGGGAGGGGAGGCCACACGGTGGGGTCCTTACCGTGTGCGCGAACTGCAGCTCCCCGGCCTCAGGCTGCAGCATGATGTGCAGGCGGCGGCTCTGGAAGTCGGTGCAGTTGGAGGCGCTGGTCACCTGCAATGCAGCGGCTGTGGCAGCTGAGAGGCCCAGCTGCGGGGGAGCGGGGCAATCCCCCCATCCCACATCCCACCCGGGGACCAGGGCTCACCTCCCCGTAGCGGCCCCGGCCTGGCATCCAGGCCTCGATGTCAAACTTGCGGTAGGCGGGGAGACCCAGCTCCTGGGTGGGCATGTCCAGGACCCTGCAGCCGGCAGTGGCAGTGGCAGCGGCGGTGGTGCGGGTCAGTGGGCAGCAGGTGTGTGCGGGGGAGGGGGAAAGAGTGGGAGGAAGAGATAGAAGTGATTGAGGAAGGGGACTAAGATACAGGGTGTCCCAGCAAACCAAAGGACTGACAGGGGTGAGAGGGGTGCCTGCAGTGCCAGGGTCCCTTTCCCACCCCTCCCCCAATGGACCAGAAGAGGCATCTTGGGCAGCAGCGTAGGGCAGAGGCCACCCCTGCCTGCTCCCCACCGGAAGTGCAGGCCCAGCTCTGTCAAGATCTCCATCTGAAGAGACAGGAACTCCTCCAGCAGCTGTGAGCTCTGCTCCAGGCTGGGGCCAGTCACCCCAAACATCTCCACCTGGACAGGCAGGCAGGGAAATGGGGGTCAGGAGGTCTTGGGCTGCGGGGTATAAAGCCGACCCCACCTCCAGGCTGGTGCCACGCACCTTGGTGAAGTGATGCACCCGGTACAGGCCCCAGGGCTCTTTCCCTGTATCCGTCTCGGGCCGGTAGCACGTGCTGGAACAAACCATCCTGGAGGGGTAGGGTGGCCACAGCAGGTCAGGGCAGGCGCCCAGTGCCACAGGGTGGGGTGCGCAGGACTAGGGAACTGCACAGCACCTGACAGGCAGGTCCCTGAAGGCCACCGCGTGGTCCATGAAGTAGCCTAGGGTCAGAGGGGGCAGGAGGGGGTCAGCCAGGCTGCCACTGGCACTGTCATAAGGAAATCCCAGAAGATGCTCCCTGTATGACTGGAGTGTCACGCCACTGTTGGTTGCACAGTCCACAACCTATACAACTGTCCACGTAGGCACGAGGGTTGCCCTGATGTCCTGGCTGAACTCCCTCGGCTGCCCCAATCCCCGCTCCTGCTCCTCGCGCCCACCTTGCCACCTTAGCCCAGGCAGGTGCTCACCTGCGAGGCCCACCTCCGCTGTCCCAGCCAGGTTGAGGTCTTCAAAGCGGGAGGGGTCGATGTTATAGATTTGGGAGGGGCTGGCGTTTGGTGTCATCCCACAGCCTTCCTGGGGAAGAGGCCAGACTGCAGGAGGTCCGTGGCTGGGGTGGCACAACCCCAGGTCATCCCCTCCCCCAACCCAAGCCCAGGGTGGTCTTCCGGGGGAGGCCCTGGGCCCCCAGCATACGGAGGAGGGAGAGGACATGGGTGGAGTGGGGGGGCTCACTCACAAACACAGCTCCTCGCAGGAGGTCCGGCACAGCCATGGGGATGAAGCCCTGTGTATATAAGGGGGTGGGGTAGTGAGGGGCACAGCTAGTCCCTCTGGGCCCCATGCTCTGGCAGAGAGCCGATGGCAAGCCTTAATCGCTCCAAAGTCCATTCCACTGAGGACAGCATGGGGGGAGACCCAGGCCACCCCTTCCTGCTGCCCTGAGCCCTCGGAGCCCAGCGTTGAGACACCACCCCCTCCAGGAAGTCCTCCCAACCTGGCCCGTACCCGGCGGACAAGCTTGCTGAGTGTGAGGCTGACCAGGCCGTGCTGCAGGAGAGCCCCAGCCCCGCGCAGGTAGTAGGACCGGTGGCCAGACACGTGCGACAGGCGCCTGGAGACACAAGATAGAGCGGCGGGTGTGCAGGGGCCCAGGGCTCTGGGATGAGGAGGGGGACCTGGCAGCTGGGAGGCAGAGGCCCAGTTGCCAGCTGGGGCCTGGGCATCAAACATTCATGCTGGGTGCGGCCCTGGCCTCGCCCCCTCCCACGCTGAGGCCGCCAGGGATGGGCGGAGCCGGCGGCTGGTCGCCAGCTGCAGGGTGCGGAGGGTCGGGCACTGGGGCGGGGGTGGGGGGCTGCTCACTTCTGACGGATGATGCCGAGCTTCTCGCCCAGCTCCAGGTGGCCCCGTGGAGGGAAGGAGAAGGCTGCGTGGGGGGAAGGGGAACGGTCAGAGGGGACATGGAGTGGGGCGGGCGGTGCAGTCACACAGTCACGGGGATCGTGAGAGAGGACAAGGTGGAGGGGAGCAGGTCGGGGCAGAGGGAGAGGAAGGAGAGCAAGAGGGGGGCAGGGAAGGGGAGACGCACTGAACCCAGGAGAGAGCGAGGGAGGGGCGGGGGGCGGGAGACACGCGCGTGTGCGGCCACAACCACACCGTGCACATGCACACACATACCACACGCGTGTACAGTCATGACAAACCCCACGCGCACACACACATTCTGTGCTTGCAGACACAGTCATCTGCAGCACGCAGGGCGAGGACGCCCACGTGGGTGGGGCAGGGCACCAGCTCCAAGGAGCGCCCCTCACAGGCAGCTCGTGCCCAGCCGAGGCAGCAAGGGGGAGCGGCCTCCCGAACCTTGGGAGCCCGAACCCCTAGCCCCGGGGTTGCAGCCTACCTGGCTTGTCACCGATCACGTGGAGCACGCGCGCCTGGCTCTCATCCCCAATGGGCTACAGGGAGGTACAGGTGTGATAAGGAAAGGTGGCACCTGGGGGGGGGGCAGTCCCTCAGTCCTGCCCCCACAGGGTGCTCACTGTGTCTGGGTGGGTCTGGTTAGGCAGCCGCAGTGCGTGCAGGTAGAACTGCTCCTCAAGTTGGGTCTCCCTGGGGTACAGCAGAACCAGCTGCTTCCGGATCTCCCGGCCGCGCGCCCGCAGGGCCTGATACTGGGGCTCCTGGGGACAGGCCATGAGGGGTCCACCTGAGACAGAGGGCCAGGGATCCCCCCCTGCCACCCGGTTACCAATCTGCCCTCAGTCCTCATGGCCAGAAGCACCTCTCCTGGCCGGCTGGAGTGTGGCCCTGGCTGGAGCTGTGAGGACAATGGGCTCCTTACACCCCCACACAAGGTGGGAAAGCTGGCGTGGGTGAGAGAGAGCAAAGTAGAACCCAGCACAGAGCTGGGTCCTGGATGCAGCAGCACCTGAAGCAGCACTGTGAGTGTCGACAGGGGTTTGTTCTCTTCTGTCACATACAGAGGAGGGACTGGGGCTGATACGGGACCCTCAGGCCCACTCCCCACCGCGACCCGGCTATCCACTCCCAGGAGTACCTGCTGCACTTGCTGGCTGTCCCGGTTTACCTGGTAGAAAAGGAATTATGTGAGTGTTGGGGGGTGGTGTTAGGTGGATGGAAGCTGAGCTGGGCAGGAGGGCTGAAAGGCCACACAGGCCAGGGGATCTGTCGGCGCCTGGCCAGGTCCTTCTGCCCGTCAGCTCGTGGAGGTGGGCTGATTTCAGCATAACACACTATGGGGGTGGTATTAGGGTCATACCCTCCCCTTGAGAAAACTCAGGGATGTGTGTGTGGTTCCTTCTGTGAACGGCCTGGGGTCCCATGGAAGAGTTTAGTGCCTCCCCACTGTGTGCTCTTGGGGAGTCCTGGTCTGGGAACGGGGGATGAAGATGAGGCTTGTCGTCCCCCGTCCTCCATGTGCCAGCACTTGTGGTCCAGGGAAGGAACTGGGGGCTGAGACGCCACTAAGGCATCACCAGGGGAGGGGACCATCATTCACATCGCTGAGCTTCTCCCCTGTACCTGCTGGGCTCCCCCACTCACCAGCAGCGCCCGTACTGCCTCCGCCACGGCCCCCTTCTCTTCCTCCAGGCCCCGGATCTGCTCCCGCAACTGCCTCAACTCCTGCCATGAGGCAATCTGGAGGGTGCAGGGGTGCAGGGACAGGAAGGCATGAGTGTGAGTGGCCGCCTTTGCTGCCATCTCCCCTCCTCTCCCCTCCCCGCTCCCTCTGACACCTGCGGTGGGGTTCTGTCTGTCGCCCCCCAGGAGCCATCCTCCTCCCTTCCCTGATGCCCAGCTGGGCACACGGCGGCCTGGGTTAACACGTTTTCCAGATTCCCTCACAGCTACCTGCGCTCACATGACCAAGACCAACCAACATACACAAGTAGAAGGGGTTAAAGAGGGAGTCTTTTTTTTTTTTCTTTTTTAGCAATGAGAATGGCTTTGTAAAAAATTTACTTATTTATTTCAAAGTCAGAGTTACAGAAAGAAAGATCTTCCACCCACTGATCCAACTCTGCAAATGGCCACAACGGCTGGAGCTGAGCTGATCCAGAGCCAGGAGCCAGGAGCTTCTTCTGAGTCTCCCACGCGGGTGCAGGATCCTAAGGCCCTGGCCCGTCCTCCATGGCTTTCCCAGGCCACAAGCAGGGAGTGGGAGGGAAGTGGAACAGCTGGGACATGAACTGGTGCCCACATGGATGCTGATGTTGCGGCGTTTCCATCTGAATGGGTGTGTCTTAGCCTGATTTCTGTTGCCGTAACAAAACTCCACATACCAGGCAAATCATACAGGATGGAAGCTTCCTGGGCGCAGGGTACAGAGCCTGTAGATCCAAGGTGAGGAGGCCGCAGCACAGGATGGTAGGCGGGCATGTGCAGGAGAGACAAGCCACAGCCCAGCCTCATGTCACAGCCTACCACCGCACTCCCTCAACGAAGGCATGCCAGGGGGCCAAGCAAAGCTGCCCCCACGATGCTACCACCCCATTTGGGCACTGGTTCAAGTCTTGGCTGCTCCACTTCCAATCCAGCTCTGTGCTTACGACCTGGGAAAAACAGTGGAGGATGGCCCAAAGGGCTTGGGCATCCCTTACCCATGTAGGATACCTGGAGGAAGTTCCTGGCTCCTGACTTTGGCCTGACCCTATGCTGGCCATGGTGGCCATGAGGGATGAACCAGCGGGTGGCTGTCTTTCTCTGTCTCACCACATTCCAAATAAACAAGTATATATATACACATGTTCTGGAGCCAAATACCACAGGTACAGACTCCCTGAGTATTCTCCCCAATAACACAGAAGCAACAGCAGTATCTGCTTCAGAGGGGTGGTGCAAAAATCAAATGGGGATAAAGTGTGTTAGGCCCATGGGTGGCCCAGGGCAAGGCTGAGGAGACTTGGGGTTCCCCACACACTCAGCACCCCAACAGAAGGAGACCTCTACAGCCTCCAGGCATCGAGTATTTCCTAAATAGGAGAGTTCTAGTTATCACTCACCGCCCATCTGCAGCCGCTGAGTCAACAACCACCAGCAGGTGCAACAGAACCATTGGTTCCTTTTAGTGGCTTGCCACCTGCAGTCGTGTGGATGCAACATCCCACCTGGCACTCCCCTCCAAAAGCGCCCCAGGCCCCTGGCTGTCTCCCTTTGTGTCTCTGTGGCCTTAGGGTAAGGCGGGCGTGAGATGAGGGCCAGAGGGAGCGGCTGGCAGCACACACCTCTAAGAGGCAGTGTCCAGGGCACACGGTGGACTGGGTCTTAGCAGGACTGAGCGGACCACTGGCTAATCTCAGTGTGTGCCACGCACAAGATCATGACTCAACTCGGGAAGGGAAGTAAGCTGCCTGCCTAAGCCCACTCCCCAGCTCCAGCTGCTCTTGCACCCTCAGCTGCCCCGCAAGCGCACTCACGATCCCCGGCAGGTCCGCCGGCCGCAGCGCCCCCTTGCGGAGTTCCAGGGCGCGCGCCACCTCTTCTGGGCATGCGCACACCGATTCCATGTCCAGCTGTGGGAGAGCGCTATAGCCCTCGCGTGCGTGTTCATACAGGAGGTTCCGGTCCCGTCTCTCGGAAGCGAAAGTTCTCCGAGGGCTCTGGCTGCCCGTGCAGCCTGTCCGGAGCCGGAGTCCGCCAGGAGACAGCAGGCACCCTAACCGCCGCGCGATGGACGCAGCCATCTTGGGCCGGGGACCAGGAAGGCACACCGCCTTCATCCCGCCCAGTCAGCGTTTGAACCAATCGCGAAACAGCCGACCCGCTCTCGACGAGCCAATCAGACAGGTTGCCCTCCCAGCCTCGACGTAGTTCGCTGAACATTGCCTGAGATTGACTTCGTCATTGCCCAATCGCCATCTGTGTCCCGCCCCCTCAGGGACGCGCGAAGGCAGGGTCTGCCAATGGCTGCTGAATGACCCCGGAAGGGGCGAGAGGCTGAAGTAAGCGTGTCTACTGGCCCTTCTGGGGTCGGTGAGGCCGGTGAAGGCTTCGGTTTCCCTCCTGGGTATGGGAGGTGGTTGTGGTCTCCTGGATTTCACCGTGTAAGGCTCTGAGGACGGGGTGGGGGCGAGTCTGGGGTTCCAGAACGTCGGCGGCCACTTTGTCCCTCTCCCCTAACCCAAGGACGCGACGTGCGGCGGCGGGATGTCCTGGTCCGGCCTTCTCCGTGGCCTCGGCGCGTCCGTACGTGGTGGTAAGCCAGGGTGCTGGGCCGCAGGGTGTGGTGGGACGAGGATTGTTCTCCCTTTGGTTCGCCACTCAGAATGACAGGGGTGGGCCAGATGCACGATGCCACCCGGCGCACAGCGTACTGAGCAGCGGGATGGGATGGTGGCACCTGTGCTGCGGGTGAGCGAACCGAGGCACGGGGAGCCCAGGAGACTTGTTCAAGGGCAGCCGCTAGCTGGAGACTGAGCGTGGGGGCAGGTGCTGGCGCCTCAGTTGGGCCCCCCCACCCGAGTCTTTAATAGGAAAACCTGGTTTCCTATTAATAAATAAGTCTTGCTTAAATAAAGCATTAATATCTTTGTTGAAGACTGAAATAAATTCACGTATGATGTTTATTTTTTAAAGATTTATATATTTATTTTGATTGGAAAGTCAGATATGCAGAGAGGAGGTGATACAGAGAAGATCTTCCGTCTGATGATTCACTCCCCAAGTGGCCGCAGCAACCAGAGCTGAGCCAATCTGAAGCCAGGAGCCAGGAGCTCTTCCAGGTCTCCCACATGAGTGCAGGGGCCCAAGACTTTGGGCCATCCTCAGCTGCTTTCTCAGGCCGCAAGCAGGGAGCTGGATGGGAAGTGGGGCTGCTGGGATACAAACCAGTGCCCATGTGGGATTGCGGCACGTACAAGGCAAGGACTTTAGCCACTAGGCTACCATGTCAGGACCCATGTACAATGTTTAAAACAAGATCTGCCATGTGGAGGAGGCACAGTGAAGGTTTAAGTGTTGCTGCTGTCACCTGGAAACATCCTAGATGTCACCCCCAACATGTCCTTGGGAAGGTGTCACCAGGGTTGCTAACCTCTGTCCTCCCTGTCGTTTTGTCTCTCCCAGGCCTGACTGTGATCCCCCAACTCTGGGCCGGCCGCAGCATGGCTACCTTGAACCAGATGCATCGCCTCGGGCCCCCCAAGAAGGCCCCCCGGCGCCTGGGCCCCACCGAGGGCCGGCCGCAGCTCAAAGGTGTGGTCCTGCGCACCTTCATTCGCAAACCCAAGAAGCCCAACTCGGCCAACCGCAAGTGCTGCCGCGTGCGACTGAGCACCGGCCAGGAGGCCGTCTGCTTCATTCCCGGCGAAGGCCACAGCCTGCAGGAGCACCATGTGGTCCTGGTGCAGGGCGGCCGCACCCAGGACCTGCCCGGGGTCAAGCTCAAAGTTGTGCGTGGCAAATACGACTGCGGCCATGTGCAGAAGAAGAAGTGACCGTGGCAGGTCCCATGACTTTTATGCCACAAAACAGGATTCCTGCTGCCCAGGAAGGCAGGGTGGAGTGGAAGAGCCTGCTTTTTTTTTTATCAGCAGTATCACTACCCATTTGGGTGGGCGAGTTGGAGAATGGGCCCCCTCTGTCAGCAGCCTTGTCCCCAGGGTGGACTTGGGGCCTCTACCCCGCTGTGTGCTAGGAAGCAGCATAATAAACAGCTCACGTCCCCAGCTCCCACGTGCCGGGGCGGCTGATAGCTCTGGGCTTGGGTTTGCAGTCTGCCTTGTTCATGTTGGTAAACATTAAATTTGTTGCTCTGCAGACCAGCAGGGCCTCTCTGTCCTGAGCTCTAAGACCCATCTTCCCTCTCCAGAGGCCCAGAGGAGGCAGCCAGGACAGGAGCTGGCATGCCCTGCTGGGCCACAAGTCCTGCTCCCACCTGCTGGCTGCACCCCCGGGTTGCCAGGGGACCTGGTTCTGACAGTAATACTGACATCCTGTGAGCATGTACTTGGCCACAGTAGGTTTTTTTTTTTTTTTTTTTTTTTGAGATTTATTTATTTGAAAGGTAGAGTTCCAGAGAGAGAAGGAAAGAAAGAAAGCTTCCATCTGCTGGTTTTACTCCTCAAACAGCCACAGCCATGAGCTTCATCTTGGTCTCCCAGATGAGGTGCAGGAGCCCAAGCACTCGGGCCATTTCCCACCGCCTTCCCAGGCACATCAGCAGGGAGCTGATGCGATTCCATATTGCAGGCAGTGTTTTAACACACTGCACCACAATGCTGAGATCAGCCCCAGGAGCCTCTGGGCACCTCCCAGCTGTTCCTGGACTCTGGAAGCTTCCCTGGGAGCACCATGGTACAGCAGGTGGCCGGGCTTCTCAGGGCGGGAGGCGGAGGTAGACACGTGCACATGGTCACAGCAGAACTCGGGTCCCCTCGGGCTTAGCACCATGTCACAGCTGGTCTGCTGCCTGTGCCCATCTAGGGAGTGGAGGGGGAGAAAGAGCCCGCTCCCGTTGGCACTCCTTACCCCGGGGTCTGTGTACAGTGGATCTTCAGTGCAGAGACCAGAGCGGCAACAGGCAAGAGCTGACGGGGCCTGGGGCACGTGGCCAGAATCCTAGGGCCTCCCCGAAGTGACAAAAAGGCTTCTGCCTTTTGAAGTCCCTGGTCAAAGGCAGATTTAGCCTCAACTGAGCCCCACTCCCACCACCATAAATTCTTAGCTGACTTAGGCAGGCAGGTGAACTGAGTCACTTTTTGATGCTTACCCACTTCCACGCACATACACCCAGGGAGCTAAGGAGTGTGTAAACGCCCTGGGGGAGCCCTCATCACTTAACGCAAGGGCCACCATCCACAGCAGCAACAGTGGGGTCCCTGGGAGGAGTGCTCAGAGCAAGTCACCGGGGAACCCCCCGTCCCCAAGGGCATCCGGTGGGCAGTGGCAAGGCACCCCCTTCCTCCTTGAGTGGGTGGCACCAGACATGTGACAGTGGCTTCCAGAAGGCCGGATCCAGTGGGCTGGCTAGGACAGGCAGCGGATCCTCACTTTCACACTGGAGTGGGTGACCAGAGCACCATAGTGTCCTACCCAGGAACGCGTGTCCCTGCCATACTGTTCAAATGACACGTAGCGGATGCCCTTGCCGAAGTTGGTGAAGATGTGGGAGACCTGGTGGGGAGGAGGAAGAAAGTGACAGGGGTGCAGCCTGTGGCTCCCCAAGGACTGTGGGGGCTGGCGGAAGCTGGTGACAGGTGGGGGTGGGAATTTGCAGTGTGCGGCATTCTGCCAGGAGTGAAGCTAGCAAGCGAGCGCCCACAGAGGTGGCACTGAACATGGGTCCCAGGGAGGCAAGGAGCCGAGGGGGGCAGCCTGGAGGATCAGCCGCAGATGGGGCAGCCAGGGTAAGAGGCTCCAAGGTGGGAGCAGAACGAGTCAGGGGCCCATCTTGGTCACAAGTGGAGTACTGCATATTCTTCCTTCTTTGTGTGATTTTTTGTATTAGAAAATTCACATTAAGATAAAATGCACCATTGTGAAAGGGCACAATCTCATGTTAACGGATTCATGATTTTCTGCAACCATCACTAGCAGCTAATTTGGGAACACCTGTATCCATTAGCCTCACATCCAGCCTGCCGCCCCCAGCGGCCACTCACCTGTTTAGGTCTCTATTGCATGTTTTCTTTTAAGAGGGTCTGTCCATGTCGGGCCTCGCCCACTGGGCCCCTGGTGTTCACTGCCACTGAAGGCTGAATACTGGGGTTCAGCCCCCTCCCTTAGCAGGAGCCAGGGGAGGCGGCATCCACTGTGGCTCACTTTTCTGGGTTCTTTTCTGTGTTTTAGGAGGGCAGGTGTGGAAGCAGGACTGTGCGAGCTTGGACACCAGCTGGGGCTCAGACAGTCCTTGAGCACTGTTGGGGCTGGTCACTTGGCCTCCCTATGCCTCAGTTTCCCCAACTCGAGGGTAGAGACCAGGTAAGAACTTTGGGTAGCACACAGCAACTGCTCAACGAGTGTGGCCCGCTGGCGAGACTGCTGTGCTAATGGGAATGAATGGATATGCAAGGCTTCAGAATCCCACTTGCTGTTCTCACAGACCCTGCGGGGGGCCAGGGGGCAAGCAGGCAGGTGGGAGGCCGGGTTGCTGCTTGCCTTGGAGCCAACCAGGCACGCTGCAGGAACAGTCTACACCCACCTGTCGGCAGCCCCTCTCTGTCCACTGCATGACTGGGTTGGGCGAAGCTGAGAACTTGACCACTTCATTTTCGTGCATGTCCAGAAGGCGGACCCGGAGCCGGTAGACGCAGCCGCAGTTCTCTCGGGCTCCCCACCTGCCACCAGGCGGCAGTGAGCCTGCGCGCCCACCCCGCCCCATACCTCACCGAGGGTCCCACACACCTGTGCCATGTTTGATGGGGCTGGGTGTGGCAGCCTTTAGTGCAGCAGCCTGCATGCTCCTACTGTCCAAGGCCCACAGCCAGGGATCACCCCACAACCCATCCCAACTGCATACCTTCCCCTCCCTAAGCCTCAGTCTCCCTTTTTCGGGCTCTCAGCCCTTTGTGGTTACGGGTATCTCAGACCTTGGGATTGGGTGCAACTGGGGTGAGTGGCCTGAGTGGACAACCCCAGGGGGCCTGCTGGGAAGTGTGGGAGGAGGGCACACCCCTCTTTGCCCTGCAGCAGTAAGGCCTCGCTTACAGAGGGTACAGGGGAGCAGCAGCGCCCCTGCAGTTGA